AGAGCTCCAAACAGCCCAGGCTGAAATAAATCCTGAGAATTCCGGGAGCGCTCGGGGGGTTCGGGGCCTCAAACCTCCTGTGACTGAAATTAAAGTTTCTGCTCAGCTGATGAGCAAATACCAGGTGCTTTGACGAGCTGTCCCTGCTTGGCAGACGTGGCTTTTGCGTCCCAGGCCCGTGTCCCTCTGGACGGATGTGCAGAGGCCGCGCAGATAACGTGGCTACGGTCCAGCTGCCACTGAGCCGCTTCCACTGAATTTACCTCTTGGTCACTGCAGTATGCCCGGACCCACTGCCCACGTTGCCGAACTGTCACCTGGCACCCATAGGTGCAACTGACACTTGAATCCATTTCTTTTCGGCACGCTGAGTGGACCACCTGCCTTTTCTCTTTTCTAGGTGAGCTAGAGAAGAGCTGGGAACGATGGCTATGGCACTAAGATGCTTCCGTCATCTGCCTTCCCTGCTTTATCGTTCTTCGTTCGCAGTGACACGGGGGCTACCGCGGGCTCCCGCAGGCTGCCCAGCCCTGCTCCCGCATGGCTGCCGGCACTGTGTCCATCAGATGCTGCTGACCAGACAGCTAGCTACCAAAAAAGGTAAAGGCAGCAGCCTTTTTCCTAGTGTTTCCGACCCCTCAGTCTGTTGCCAGGATTTCTCTTCTTATCCCTTTTTTCTCGTGTACCAGTGTGGATCTGCCTTAGGCAGAACACCGCTCCGGAGGAGCTGGTTTGCCGGCCGGTTCGTGCAGCGTACCGGAAACCTTAGCCCTTCCCACGGGAGAGGTGGCGCGTGGAGCTGCTGCTGCGCTGGGGCAGTAGGTAGCAGTCGTCACAGTCCACGCTGGAGTCGGTGCACGCAGCGTGACCTACAAATATACTTGGGCTTATGTGCTCAAGTGCTGGGCTATTTGCTCATTTAAAAATACAGTCACTTTGGTTTACCTTAGACTCAATTCTGACTCTAACAGGGGTTTTAATGTCTTCTTTCTTCTTTCTAATGCAACAGCTGTTGTCAGAAACAGATTATTTTTATGTGTAATCTGCAGCTAAAGGTAAAGGGCAGAGTCAAGCCAGAGTGAATATCAGTGCTGCCCTAGTTGAGGATATTATCAATTTGGAGGAAACCAATGAAGACATGCAGGCAGTGGTAGAAGCTCTGAAAGAAGACTTCAGCAGAAATCTCAGTGTTAGAACCTCACCAGGTTGGTAACTTTCTTGTATGATGCTCTATTGCCTGTGAATAAGGATATGAATCCTAGTAACTGGGAACTCTGATTTTTTCCAAATTTATTTTTATTGAGTTATTCACTGGGCACCCAATTACTACAACCTTGACGTCCCCAGCTAAAGGCTTTCTTCACCCTGAGCTTGACCAGGAAGAATCCATTTTTGTTAATAGCTTCCTGGAAATAGCTTTTGTAAGTGGGAGATGTCAAAAGTGTCTAACGGAACTGTTTGCAGATGTGATGAAGAAGCAGGTTGTCAGCTAATGGTGTAGTAGGGCAGGAAAAATCCAATTGCCATTAAATTAGCCTTTTGGAAATTGCCATCAGGCTGGTGTCTGGCATATACAAACTTTTTTTTGCTGTGCGTCTTTGTGGTTAGTGATCTTTACAAGCCTCATCCGCTTAGTGAATTTTGTGTTTCAGGAAGAAATGTGAGTATATTTGACTAAGCTACGGTTACTATAGCACTCCGAACATAGGTATTTGTAAGTAGGATCGAGTTTCAGGGATAAAATTTAACATTAAACAACGACCAAATTTGAATCATTCACCACCCCAGCGCTGGCAGGGGCACTTCAGTCTTTAATGGAGTTGGAAAGCATAGCTCAGTCTCTTAACTATTTATTTTAACCATAGGTATTTTTTTTTTAATTGCACTGATAAAGTACCTCTTGTCCCATGTGCCTTTTGGCCTGTTAACATTTTGCAGCAGAAACTAGAGAGCAGATTAAGTGTAGCTCAGGGAGAAACTGAATACTTTAAATTAAGCAGTGTACAACACCTCCTCTTGGGACCTGGAAAAAAAAATGAGGGGTTTAAGAGAACACAGCTAAGTTAAAGACAATAGTTGTCTTGATTTTTATAACAACATTTTGATTTTCTTTAAGTTCTAAGAATTAAAAAATAACCATTTCCTTTTAATTCTTAACAATCTTGCTTAGTTTTCTTATTCTAGTAACAAAAACAAACAGGAGTTTTGTTCTCATGTTTTTGTGCTTTAGAGTAGCGTTGAAGTATTTAGCTTGCACATACCACAGGGGATGCACGAGCACAAACAGCACCTGAAGTCTGAATAAACATGTTTTTTTTTCTTTTGTAACATCTATATTTTGCATACTAGAAGGGAAGTGGGACACTGCGTACGCGCTTTTCTTCAGCATCGTACTGAAACTCCCCTGTGTTTGATTCTTTTGAGGGGCCCTCGATCACATAATCGTGATGACAAAAGATGGGAAGTTTCCGCTGAACCAGCTGGGGCAGATCTCACAGAAGTCACCGCAGCTCATTATAGTGAACATGACCAATTTTCCAGAGGTAAGGACACGTTACCGAAGGCATTGCGAAGAATTGATCATTACCATGGGCACAAACAGGTTGATGCTGAGTGAAGGAGCAGTTAGACAAAATCAGTCAAACCTGGCAGGGGTGAGAGCTCTGGCCGGGCTGCATGTCGCCTTCTGGCTGACACAAAACAGAAGCGGTATTTTGCTCTCGACTCTCCAGCCCTGCCTGGTGCACAGAGCATCTCGCGTGCGGCGGCACGGGGGTCAGACGAGAGTTATGTGCTGCCCGTCAGGCCGCGATTGCTCGCGGGGTCGTATCCAGTAAATGCCACACTATGAGGAGTTTGCTCATAGACTGGTTTCCCACCAGCTGGATCTGCAAGAGCGCGGTTGAAAAGCGGCGCCGAGCGTGGCGCAGACCGGATGCCTGGAGTAACTGTGCCCTGCCGGGTCTCCCCATTTCCCACGCTTTTACGGCACGCGGTAGCCTTGAGCACACGCACGATCTCCTTTGGTTCACCTGAATTACACACGTGGAAGTGATGCTGCATCTGCCACGTTGTATTTATGTCATTTCGGTTCCTTATGAAGATGTGGCCGTGCACAGAACCAGACGCGTAGTTGGAACAGTCGGTATTTGTGCTGGGGACACCATCAAACTCCTCTAAAACTTGCTGACTTATCGCCAGGGCGGGTGACACCCCCGGACAGCTCATGGAAGAAGCTGCTCAGGTAGTCTACGAGCTTTTGAAAAGCCTCCCTGGTAGGACCAGGCAGGGCCCGTGCTAAGTGCTGTCACAGGGCCCGACGCGGGCAGCGCTGAGGTTAGCAAGCTCCTCCCTGGGCAGCGCCCGCAGGTCAGAACCCAAATGAGGTGCTTGGACGTATCCTCTGCGAGAGCCGAGTTCCCTTCGGTTCCTGCAGGAGCCTTAGTTAGACTTGCCCCTACATGAGGCAGCAAATCTGAATCCCACCTCAGGATCAAGCACTAGTGGTCCCCTGCGGCGGGCGCACACGGAGCGCGCCAGGCAGCCGCGCAGATAGGAGCAGTGACAAGCGCAAGGTTAGTTATTCGTCCCGCTCCAGGTCTGGAGGTTTGCCAAAGCTTATCTGTATTTATTTTGCAAAGGCTTTCCCCAATTAATTAAGTCAGCAAAGTCTCAGAGGAGGTCAGCGTAAGGCACTTGATGCCTAAGTGTTTCTTAAAGTGCATCCAGCATGTATAATGGCTTTGAAGAATGAAAGCCCCTCATCGGCGAGTGCGCCGAGGTGCCTCGGAGAGCCGGAGCGGAGGGGGCCGGGGAAGTCGCCCCATGACAGCCTGTGTGCAAGCAGGAGCTCAGACTGAGAAATGGGCATGTGAGAAATTAAATATCACGCTATATACCATTGCCCACATTTGCTTTCTAAGCCAAAGGGCCATTTTTCATTGGAACTAGGGGTAAAACTATTTCTCTCAATGTAGTTGTTTTATACCATAACTGTTCTATAGATAGATTGAAGTCTTTAAAACCGTTACAGACACGTTGACTTGATGTCTTTATTCACAGCGTATAGCCAGTGCTTCGTGGCACTGGAGGGCAAATAAAAATGCCTGAAGAGTCTGGGAAAGAAAATAATCATAGAAAAGGACTTGCAGGGCCAAATTCTGTTTGCCCGAGAGCTATGTAAACAAACAGGACTATGTCTTTTAAACACAGCTATTAATTTCATGGGCTGCAAGAGCATGGGGGCAATATTGCAGTATTTTCCCTTCCTCTGTTTCCTTCAATATGTATGTTAAACAATACAGCTTTTACTGAGCATTTCTTTCTTACAGAGCAAGCACCGTCCATAGAATAACACGTTTACATTCCTAACGTGCTGAGATCAGCTTGGTTACATTTTCTCTGCCCTTCTTGTGTTCTAGAGGACAGCAGTTATGTCTTACAAAACGCTAGCAGAGCATTCATTTCGTTCAGCAATGTCGCGTGCCGGAGACCTAAACAAATATGCAAAGCTTTAGTTTGTGCCTCAGTTAGCAAAAGCTGAACTTCATAAATACAGTCTACTGCAGCAGCCTGGAGCTAAAGTTAACGGTGGGAAGGAGTATCAGAAATAGCAACGTGACTTGTAAGAAAAGCCACACGAGTGCCACAAGAATACAGACTCGGTCGGTCTTGTTATTGTCAATGTCGAGAACGAAGCAACCTGGCGGAGCGCTGCGGGAGCTCCCAGCAAAACTCCCATTTAGCCATAAAGCCTGACACACTGTAGAGGTACACCAGTGCGCTGGGATGGGGAAGGAAGCCTTTTAATCACTTTGCAGTTAACGGGCAAACCTGTGCACCCCACCTTTTAAGCAGAGCAGAACGTCAGCCCAGCAGTGATTGAGTTTGGAGAAGTTAATCCTAAGTAATAAGCTGTAAAATAAACATGGAGCTGGGCACAGGCTGTATTTCTCAGCCAGCTGCTACTGCCCTGCTGTAATGTGGTTATGTTGTAGTGCTGAAGTGGTTAAGTTAGTTAATGTTTCTAAATTGGCACTGTGTGATTTCTAGTGGGAAACATTCAACTGGAATTTTTAAATGCTCAGAATCTTTCATCTCCTTCGCCACAGTCAGGCTATGCCTTGGGAATTTATTGCGGTTTCACTCTGCATTGCCTCAAACCATTCAAATAGTTTCAAAGAAGCAAAACAGTTTTCTTTTGTTGTTGCTTCCCTTCCCCTTTTCCCCTCTTCGTGCCCCCCTACCCCGATTCCGAGCGCGGCCGTAGTTTCCCATTCGGTTTGATCAAAGCTCTCCGCACCAATGTAACTTCCTGATCTTACTGGTAACAGAAGTAAATGTTTCCATGTTCTGTGGAGATGGATTGCCAACTATTGACAGAGTTCTGGCATATGGGAATGATTATTTCCTAATTCCCTTTACCGTTTGATCTGTCTTACAGAGCACAGCTGCAGCTACGAAGGCTATAAGGGAGAGTGGCATGAACCTGAACCCAGAAGTGGATGGGACAATAATTCGGGTGCCAATTCCAAAGTGAGTATTGATGGCTGCCTGAGTTCATCGTCATGCAAGGTAACGCAGTGGGTTGCAGTGAACGCCCTTCAGAGGGTAAGCGTGCACGATGGCTGTGATGTCGTGCTGCAGCTGCCTTCCAAATAGCTGTATTTCAGGTTCAGAAAAAAACTGAGCCCCTAAAAGCATCTTGGTGGAACCTCTTCCAAGTGCCTGAGCACTTAAGTCACCACATTTTGGCATCTGATGGTTGGTTTTATTGTTCTTTACCTCGCCCCTTGGTCCTAGCTGTATTGCCTTAATTTGGGGGCTGGTTCTTTGCTGCCCTGCTGTCAATTCCTTGAATCACACCAGTGCAGAGCAGCAGTAACGCAGTAGCGCACCGGTAGTGTTAGGGGCGAATAGCACCTTGCTGCAGAGAACACTAAAAGGAAGCGATGAAAGAAAGAGGGAAGAAGTTGATAGCTTTGGCTAAAAAGTCCACTCCCTCTTCCCGTGTCATACGCGCTGCGTAACTGACAGCTGCGTGGAAATGTTGGTACAGGGCTGGCAGAAAAGCAGGCTGCTCCTGGCCGAGGACCGAGCATCGCTTCCCTCGCCCATCGCAGGTGTCTGGCAGCCCTTGGACAAGGCAGGAGGTGCCACGGCATCAGCTGGGATCAGGAGAGCGCTTGTGAAGCGATCCTGACGGTCCCCGCGTGGCGTGCTTTGCGCTGCAGCGTGCTGGGGTCTCTGCCCGTGAAGGCGATCCCTTTCGGATGAAACTAGAGAGGTACCCGCTGGGAGCGCACCCAGCGCTCCCCCCTGCGCACTCGTGTTCGGTCCCTGGGACCGGGCTGGACGCCGTGCGGAGCAAGACCTCTCGGCAGCTCCGCTCGTCCTGCGCTGCGCAGCTCGCTAGCGCAGACGCAGCCCGTAGCCGGGGCAGTAGCGCTGCTCTGCCCAGGTTTGGGCGGTGCACGGAAAATTCACGCGTTCCTGCGGGCGCTCGCACCCTGCAGCGATGGAGCCTCTGAATAGCCGGGGCAGATGTACGCGACCTCACGCCCTGGGGTGCTGCGAACGGCTCCCACAAAGGGTAGAGGCGGCTCCGTACGCTGCCTGTGCACGCAAACGCTTGCACGTGCGCTGCATTTCACAAGCAGGTGACTTCTCGGTGAAGGCGAACTGAGTGTTTCTCGTGCTTTAGATCTACTGTAAAAATTCCATGGAATTTTGTCTAGCGTTTTGATCAGAGAAGTCTAATTGCAGCTTTCTGTTGCTGTCGGTGAGAGGGAATTACATTATCATTCTCTTTGCTGATTTTCTTTTCCCCGTGCTCCCTGCCCTTCCCCCATTCCTCGGGAGAGGAGGCAGAGGAGGAGGAGGAGGAGGAGGGCACCATTATCTTCATAATTGCTGAGGCTCCCGGGTTGCTGCACAGTGGTTTGATTGTTGATGGGCACTTGGGTCATCCTTGAATATGAATTGCAGGGGAGGAAACTCCAAAACTGCAAATCCCAATCTTTAAAAAAATACTGTTTTTTCAACAAACGTGCGCAGTCTGTCACTATCTTTTGCGGTGCCGCAGAGCGAAAACCAGCCTTCTCTCCCCAGGCAGGATCTGCCTAGCGTGCTCCCTGGTCCCTCTGGTGCGTGAGGGTTGCTGCTCCTGGCCCCTTCCTCCCTGGCTGGGCAGCCCAAAGGGTCCCGGGTTAAAGAGGTTTTCGGCTTGGGAGAGCTGCCCTGTGGGTCTGCGCTCGCGGGCGCCTCCGCTCCCGTCTCCTCACCCGCTCCTCAGTAACGCGACTGGGTCTTTCAGAGTTTCATCACCCACTTATCAGAAGGACAAGCAGACGGTTTCAACCTTTTAAAATCTTCAATGCAAAGGGGAAATAATCAAATTCTTCTGGAGACCTCTCTTTAATATTATATCCCTGAATTACTTTCCTAATTTTCTAAGTTTTTCATTTTCCCAACTCTGGAGTTGTTTACGAAAGAATAAATGACAGACAGATGCAGCGAAATTGCCGAAATCACGGCAGGTGTGCAAAACGAGCAAACAAATGGGAAGTGAAGAGACAATATTGCTTCTGCAGAAATGGGTTCTTTCATGAGGGGAGGCACAATGAAGGTAAAATCAAACCTGAATTGTCCTTACCTGTTACTAAAAACACATTTTCGCCTGACCTATCAGCTGGACGCGTCATATTTTGCCTTATGCAGGTCCAGCTATGCTTCAGTGCTTGAAAGTCCAGTGAGCATTTTAAAACGGAGTTTACTTTTCGGTATTTATTCTGTTAGTTTAGTTTTTGCATTGCAGTTTTAACAGAAAAAATACACTCGTTTCATTTGTGTTTACTTCTGCTGCCTGCTAGGTTCCCCTCTGCTCCCTAAGGCATTCGCCTGTTTGTGTTGCTAGCGCTGCATAGGCAATATTTATTTGAATAAAAAGTATTCTCTGAGGGTTTAAAAAGCAAAAAAAAAGAAAGAAAACCGGCCATGGGAACATTTGTATTGGTTGGTTTCTTGGCCGAATTTGACCTGACCTTGTGTCTTTTATGGTATTGCCTCATTTTTAGATTCATCTTTTTTGGACCCATTGTGTTACACTGGATATTGTTTGTAAATTAGTAATATTTTTACACATGCTTTACTGAAAGCCAGATGACTCATTTGAAAGTTTAATGACTCATTGTGAGCTTTTTTTTTCCTTTGCCCTTTAAGAAGTATGCAAAGATACCTACTGTGGGGAGAAAGGACTCACAAAATTTCATTTGGAAAAAAGCAAAGCTGTTTCTGATCTGAGCTGTTGCTCCGGTCACTCAGCGTCAGAAGTCTCTTGCATGCTTTTTGTTGAGCAACACGTGTTGCACCCTGTGTTTATCTGCAATTATGCATGCAGAGTATTTCGTTAAGCCTACTTGCCTTTAACTGATCCCTCTCGTTCACAGGAAATTCCTAGCGTTTGAGATACAGAAATGACTCTGACCCGCATAAACGTCTCGCGTCGGAGATGAGCCGTGGCCCGCGTCGCACTCGCTGCGGG